CCACCTACGAGCTTTGCGTACGTACTTCGTAGAAACTCGGTGTACGCAATACACTTTACGCAACGTTGATGAATCCGGCCCCAGAACATTTAAACATTTGTTTCAATTTTTGCCAACGACCAATTATAATTCCTAATCAGTTGATTTTCATGAAAGTGATCATGATTTATGAAAATAAAATAAATTCCTATCTTTCGTGTATAAACGTAGTTCTCAACAGTAAAGTTGTACCCCTGCACTAACATGCGCGCAGCCATTTACACCCATAACCGTGTTGTGGAGTCTGTTACCCTAATATATTTTAGTTTACTCACTATCTACACTCAATCTATACTCACAATCTAATCACATTTTCAGCATTACATATCCTTTGTGACAATATAGTGTGAACATAGATTGCTGAAAGGAGTAATAAGAATCTGCCATAGAAGTGTATAACAATATTTGCCATGGGGATGTCTAAATAGCTTAGTAGTCCTAAGTGTTGAATGGTTAAAACATAGGTGTGGTGATGGTTTAAAATGCCATTACATCCATGCCTGGATCTAGCCATAGGTATAACTCGGGGGGGGGGGTGAGAGACCCATCTATAACACATGACTCGTATTTGCATTTATAACATATATAGTAATGAGGTTTCTATAGTCGCACATCAATAAGCATAACAGTTCGATGATGAAAAAGAAGGTTAATTTCACCAAAGTAATGTGTGTGTGTATCCGGCATGTCTAACTAAGTACCTAACAAGAAGCATTATTTTATGTATTTTGTAGATGGCTCTGGCATGGACTCATGGCATTAGTCCAGCTATGTTGGAACCTGCTGATCACATATATGTGTGGAGGTGTGGTTACAGTCACCATGGAATCTGGACTGGTTCAGAAGTGATTCACTATGCACCACCCAATAGCAGTAATATTGGCCTGAAATCTGGAGCAAATGTACGCAAAGACCCCCTGGATCGATTCCTACAGAACGGAGCTCTTAAGAAGTACCTATATGGTGTTTTCGAAGCCGAGTGGTTTTTGAAAGTTCGTGGCACGTGTTCAGTTAAGGAAAGTTGTCCAGCTGAATTGGTTCTGAAAAGAGCAGAGGATATGATTGGACAAAGCAGTTATGACTTTGTGGAAAATAACTGTGAACACTTTGCACTGTGGTGCAAACTAGGACATCGGGCTATTGATGTCCCCAACCAAGCATCTTCAACTGTATTAAATATTGTTTCAGCACTCGCCACACCTGTGCGTAGCATTGCTTTAGTGTTGCTCAGTGTACTAGATGATGATAACACCCAGCTACTCAATAATACATTAAAGTTCCTTGTTACTTTTGAGCACCGATATACATTACGAAACAAACCATGTGAGCTACAGTATTCGCAAGCTTCTGATAAACTGAATCGTATATAAGCTGAATGTGTCAGTAAACAATATCTGTATTCTTGCTTAGGGAATGTAGACTGGGTTCTTAGTGTATTATTTGGCACGCTCTAAAATAATGAACTATTCTCTACAAACGTTACTGCAAACATGCCATGCCGACTACTAACAACAACACTATAATAACCGATAAATAGCTTTATTATGAATAAATACTGCCACAAGAGGTACAGTGAATATAATATATATTATATATTAGTGCTTATTTATGTTTATATTATATGCACGCCACGTGACTGTGCCACACGCACGCCACGCACACGTGCACAAGCACGCCACGCACGTGTACGGTGCACACACGCACGCACATCACGCACACGACGCACGCCGCGCCCGTGTACGTAACACACGCCACGACACGCACTGCGTGTACGTACGCACGAAGCGCACTGTACGGCACACACGTACGTGCCAGCATGCACATGCACGCACGCCACGTGTACGCTAGCACACGCTCCGCACGCAACGTGTACGTGCTACACGCACGCCACGCACGTGTACTGCACACGCCACGCACGCCACGTGTACGTGTCGCATGGCTTCATGCATGTGCTTGAATGCATCATACAAACGAAAATGCAGGGACACTATCGACTAATGATGAATCCACCTACGACCTTTTGCGTACGCAATACACTTTTACGCAACGTTGATGAATCCGCCCCAGAACATCTTAAACATTTGTTCAATCTTTTTTTAGCCAACTGACCAATTATAATTCCTAATCAGTTGATTTTCATTGAAAGTGCAATCATGATTTATGACAAAATAAAATAAATCCTGATCTTTTCGTGTATAAACGTAGCTCTTCAACAGTAAAGTTGTACCCCTGCACTAACAGAGCGCGCGCCCATTTACACCCATAACCGCTGTTGTGGAGTCTGTTACCCTAATATATATTTAGTTTACTCCATATCTACACTCAATCTATACTCACAATTCTAATCACAATTTTTCAGCATTACATATCCTTTGTGACAATAGATAGCTGCTGAACATAGATTGCCTAAAGGCAGTGAATACAGAATCTGCCATAGAAGTGTAAACATATTTGCCATGGGGATGTACTAAAATAGCTTATTGTATTTTTTTCCTAGTCCTAAGTGCTTGAATGGCTTTAAAACATAGTGTGGTGATGCCGTTTAAAATGGCCCATTACATCCATGCCCTGGATCTAGCCATAGTATAACTCGCCGGGGGGCGGGGTGTAGAGACCCATCTATAAACACATGACTCGTATTTGCATTTATAACATATATAAGTAATGAGGTTTCTATAGTCGCACATCAATAAGCATAACAGTTCGATGATGCGAAAAGAAGCGTTAACTTCACCAAGTAACTGTTGGTTATCCGCATGTCTAACTAACGTACCTAACAGAGAAGCATTATTTATGTTATTTGTGTAGATGCGCTCTTTGCCATGGACTCATTTGCGCATTAGTCCAGCCTATGTTGAACCTGCCTGATCACATATATGTGGGACAGGTGTCGTTACAGCACCATGGAATCTGGACTGCGTCAGAAGTGATTCACTATGACCCACCTAATAGCGGAATATTGGCCTGAAATCTGGAGCTAAATGTACGCAAAGACCCCTGGATGCGATTCTGCAGGGCAGACGGAGCTCTTAAGAAGTACCTATATGGTGTCTCCGAAGCGAGTGGTTTTGAACGTTCGTGCGCACGTAGGTTCAGTTAAGAGAAGTTGCCAGCTGAATTGCGTTTCATGAAAAGAGCAGAGGATATGATTGGACAAAGCAGTTATGGACTTTGTGGAAATAACTCTGTGAACACTTTGACCTGTGGTGCACAACTACGGACATCGGCGCTATTTGATGTCCCCATACCAAGCATACTCAAAACTGCAGTATTAATATTGTGTTCAGCACTCGCCACACCTGTGCGGTAGCAATTGCTTTAGTGTTGCCTCAGTGTACTAGATTGATGATAAACACCCAGCTTACTCAAATAATACTATTAAGTTCCTTGTTACTTTTGACCACGATATACATTACGAAACAGACCATGGTGAGCTACAGTATTCGCAAGCTTCTGATAAACGATCGATATAAGCCTGAATGTGCTCAGTAAACAATACTCATGTATTTTGCTTACGGAATGTAAGACTGGCCGTTTCTTAGTGTGATTATTTGGCACGCTCTAAAAATAATGAACTATGTCTCTACAAACGTGTACTGCAAACATGCCATGCCGACTACTAACAACAACACTATTAATAACCGATAAATAGCCTTTATTATGAAAAATAATATGCCACAAGAGCGCTACAGGGAATATAATATATATTATATATTAGGTGCTTGTTTATGTTTATATACGAATACTGCCAAGTAGACCTCCTGATTATAGTAATATATTATATTATATACACATTTACACATATACAGTATATATGTGTATGGGTGCGTGCGCGCTGCGTGTGGCGCTGTGTTGTTATGTCCACGCGTTCGGCTTGGGAATTTAGAGAGGGCATGTACGAGAATCTGTATATTCCTGTAATGCTAGCACGGGACCACAAGTTGTATGCTGTATAGGACCACGTAGTAAATAACTGCGCTGCTTAGTCATATTTCTGATTGTATTTATCCTGCGTGCGTTATCTAAAATCTTGAGAATTAAAATTATTGTAATTGAATGTATAACATAGAATAACGCTCCCAAATAAAGATAATCATAAATAAATAAAAACTACCAGTGCCAATTTAAAAGTGCTAGCTTAAGCAACAGTGGCAGTTTTTTATAATAAACAAAACAGTCATTATTAAATGCCGTAGTATAAGCCAGAAGTGCTTTGTGATATTCTATTTGCATATTGAGAGTATCTAGAGCTCACAGTACTGATTGCCATAATTACTAAGTTAGTTTAGAGATCAGTGGGGCTTGCCACAGATATCGTCAGTAGAGCCAAGCAGCCAAATGTGAATCGCATCTATGTCCAATGGATAACATTATTATAGAAAAAGTCACCATGTCATTGGTTTTGCATATTCTCATGCCATATATGCTTATTCTCATTCGCATTGCGTATTCTCATGCGCTGTTGGTACGTATTCTTCATGCACCAGCAAGAAGATGGAGTGCCCTTCATCTGCTCCAACCTGTATCAAATGAATCAAATAGCATTTTCTTAAAAATAATATTTTAATGTATCGAGAGCACCTACCCGCCTTATCCTCGCAAAAATCATTAAGTGACCAGTTATCACAAGTTTTCCTGTAGCTTAGTGGTGATACCATGCCTTTACAAACTAAGCCAATTTGCAATTGCAATTTTCCCTAGTGTATTTAATAAAACGGAGACAAACAATGTTACATTAACAGAATAACATGGATCATTAAGAGAGCCTCCGTGGCCAGTGGGCGCTCGTTCACTGTGCACTGAAGGCTGTGAGTTCAAAACCCCGGCCCGCGGGCAGTGATTTTCTCAAGGTGTAAAAACCTGGCTCTCAACATTGGAGACTGAATCTCCCGTGCTGGAATGACCACGTAAAATGGCAGTAAAAGAACCACTGCAGGGCGCAAAACAACTCCTGCTTGACCACCCTCAGTGCCTTTCGGCTAAAAAGGCTAAACTACCTAAGCTTTACCCAAAGCTAGTTCATCACATCATGGCCTAGGCATAGCCCAAGCTATGGCCTAATCAAGCAACAGATTTCTCTGCGTCCGTCTCAAGCATAAGCTGTGCGTCCGATCAACAGGACTTCTTGCCAAGGGACGGCGTATCCCGTGCGCCATGTAGCGTCGTCATCGTAGGCGTAGCCTCGCAGTTTAATATACATATATATAATTTATATATATATATATTCTGTGTAATGCCCGTTTCGGGCTCTCTTAGGCAATTATTATTATTATTATTATTATTATTATTATTATTATTATTATGAGGATCATTATGAATTTCACTATTCCAATTTTTAGATGGAAAAAATTGAAACACCAAACGATCGGCCCCCGGTGGGATTCCAACGAGTATAGGCCTACTCTCATTCTCTTTTAACAAAACATCTATTATACTAGGGCTCCACCGACTGAGCCGATTTGTAAGGGAAATTTTTTCCTAGAATATTTAAGAAAAATACATATATGTGAATGTAGACAAATAATAAGTAACAGAATAGCATTAGGGAACATTAGAAATTGAAATATTAAATAAATAAAATAGACGTAATAAGATTGTACCAGTCCTCTGCCGCCTTTAACAACCATCTATGATACTATAACTCTACGACTGAGCCTATTTGCAATTGCAACTATCACCCTAGAGTATTTAATAAAATACAGATATATAAGTGAAGACAAACTATATTAAATATCAGAATAACATTAGAAACATTTAATAATAATAATTTAATATAATTAATAATTAGGAGTTAAAATATTAAATGGCAAAAAAATATAATGTAAAACGATTGTATCTCAATGGGATTCTAACATTTCCTCTCCCTCCTTTTTACTTCTCTATGATACTACACCTCTACCGACTATAGCTTGTAAAGACACTCTTCCGTTAAGATAATACAACAATGCTCCAAATTCCATCTACTGCAAGTTTTGCTCAAATTCGCCCATCCAGCTGCTAATGCCTTTGGCTTTACTCTGGCGGCAAAACCCATCACGGGTGTCGACGGTTGTTATATCGGCATCCCATTATTTCGGGCAAGTATCTCACCTACTGTGTACATATTACATATATATATATATATATTATATATATATATATATATATATATATAATATATATATACACACAAA